CGTTGCAGTGTACGTGTGTTGACGTTTATTGAAGGATTAGAGGAAAATACCCACGACGCGCAGGTCAGTCGGGCCGTAGCGTTTACAGTAGAGTAATTATACTTATTCCAGAAAAATCCTATTGGCTAAAATAATACATGCCTGTGATTGGCCAGTTCTGAATTAATCCCTGTTATGTGCGATTCCCAGGCTCGGTCTGGCGACCGCCCCTGGTAATTGCGGGCTAGTAAGTGCGTTCGGGAATCCCAGCCCCGCAGGGCGGAAATTTTTGAGACAGAATGGTTTACACCCATGGAATACAGACCGTTTATACTTGAAATATGTATGGAGGGCGACTTTTGCGCCCATTACACAAAAAGAGGTCGATTTTTCCAGAAAGGGTTTGACTTGGGGTTGTATGTGGAGATTTCTGGAAAGGCCGGGATCATTCTGGAAAACGCAATACAAACGGCAAGTCGCCACGGGGACCAAAATGTTATCACGATGATAACGGCGCTATCGAGCGCCAAGAGCGCTGTAGAGCTAGTAGGGGACACAGGGCACTCAGCCGAATGCATACCTAGCCTCTACCATCGCAAATCTTGGTGTCAGTTGCGGCGTCACTGCGAGATGCAGCAGAATTGGTCGGGTAGTCGTGCCTACCAGATGAAGGGCAGACTTCAACATCATGGCCAACCAAAAATCTCTTTGACGAGGATATTAAAGGCGTTATACGCGAAACGCGAGCAAGCGAATCATGGAAACTGGACATTCTTGCATATACATTCTCCCCAACCGCGCTGAGCTAGCTCCGTGCGGCCAAAGCGCCATGGAACGCTACTGGCTGCATGTACAACTGTAGCATAGTGTTATCACAGCGTGATATGCATACTATTTGACGAATGCACACTGTGATAACACTAAAAACAAGGTTTGATTCCACATTTGTATGTCGCACGCTGTGTTAACATTAGATTCATTTTCACGCTGTGATAACACTATGATAAGTGATTAGATGGTAAATTTTGTATGTTGCACGCTGTGATAACACTATTGGCTACCTGACGAATTGACGAAACTGGGTGGTCCATATCGAAAGAAGCCGGGTTTCGCACAACGAGACATGGACACTCCATCCGGGAACAAGGCGCTGCGCAACCGCACAGTAGCGTCGCGTGAGAAAGCGCAAGTCGCCACGATCAAGGCCGACCCCAAGCCGAAGAAGATGAAGGTCGAGACGAAGCCGAAGAAGATGAAGGTCGAGACGAAGCCGAAGAAGATCAAGGTCGAGGCCACGACGAAGAAGATCAAGGTCGAGACGAAGCCGAAGAAGACGATAAGTGACGTCAAGGTAAAGTGTGAGGGTAATGAACAACTTAAAGCTACTCTGAAATAGACCAGCCGCGACGACCCGACCGAACTCGAGACGGACAAGACGGGCAATACCTTCCCACTCGAGATGGAGATAGTAAGTACTTTCGAGGCACATACCAATGTGGGTGGGTGGGACGATAACGCAACATGGATAGGTTGCTGATATGCCGAAACGTAAAAACAACGTGTCGGTGACCGCGGGTGCCAAAGGCCAACAAGAGGCCGCCGTCGATTTGTTCAACTCGTTTCTTCGCAACACGAATCAGTCGTGGCACGGAGTCAAGGAGACGTGGAAGAAGATGAAAATTGCCGAAAACAACGGCGATGAGCGCCCGAAGCCGGATGTTTACGACGTGCTTGAAGAATTCGTCAAGTTCATGTACAACTACAACGCACCGAAAGCACGGAACTCGATCGGCTGCTTGTCGAGTCAAACGGCTGACAACTACCTCTCTCAGGTACGCAAATTTGATGAATGCTAGTTACAATTGAAAATGTGTTTAGGCCAAGGCCACTTTTATCCAGAATCTGGGCGACCTCGACGCCACTCGCTGCAAGACGATTCGTGCATCTATGAAGAAGATCTTTGTCGAACGCGAAGTTCAAGTCGGCATCTACAAGAAACAAGCACCTTGTATGACCGTCCAAGATATGGAGGTGCTCGGGAAAATGTTACACGCCCAAGGTGCAGACCAGTGGTATTCGTCCTCCAATTTCCAATCATATTTATAGGCGGCTTCGAAGATATCGAGTTTGCCTCGCTGCTCGTGATGTCGTGGCACATGTTGGGTCGTGCCATTGACTCGACCTGGCTACAGCGGTCGCAGGTCCTGACGTCCGTCGATATGTCTCACGTAATATATCTCTATTGTAGATTCAACTAATGAGCGAGAGCGATCTCTTCGTCACGTTCGCGCGCCTTAAGACCGCATCTCTTCAAGCCCACGCCGCCGTCCGGCGGCGTGGGCTCGAGCGTGGTCCAATCACGTAGAAAAAGCGACACACGACCAGTACGTCGAGGATAACATCTTCATGTACGATGTGACGTTCGTGCCGGTGCACGTTCACCCTGTGCATTGGTACCTTATTGTTATCGATGCCGCTCAGCGCCGGATTGTCGTCTATGACATGTACCCGAAGGACTTACAAGACCCCAAGGAAGCCAAGTGTCTCTTGGAGCATCGCGACGTTGCTCATGCATGCAACACCGTCCAGGCGGCAAGCGACTCCAAGCACATGAAACGATCACGCCCACCGCCACGTCAAGGGTTGACATCCGGCGATATTCACGACTTGAGCGCGTTGATCGAACCGGACGCAGCCCCCGAGCCTTGTCACGCCGAGGGCCCCAAGACGCCCAAGAATCTGGCATCGTTGCCCACCTCCCACCGGAGACGTTCAAGCGCCATCTCACGGGACCGCAAAGAAGCTGCAAAAGCTGCGGCGCCTCTTCTCAGCTTCTCCACTCACCCGGATCTGCGTCAAAGCACCAACGACAAGACACCTTCCAACGAATGCAATTGGCGCGTACTAGTATATTACCAGCAAACTCAGCAGAAGAACGGCGTGGACTGTGGTGTATATGTGTGCGCGATCGCTGAAGCCGTGTTGCGCGATCAGTCCCTCAAGAAGCTGGACGACGTTGCGACCGAACGATATAGGAGTCGCATGTAACGTTATCGTCTTTTATGGCAGGGCCTGATAACCACGGAATTTGACGCGTGGCATAAACGTTAAACCAAGCTCATTGAATATATGTTTATCTGTCTCCTGTCGTGGTATGTCATGAGGCACTGACCTCTATAACCGTCGTGTCGTCTTCAAGACAGCACCATAGACGTGTGCAACCCAGGCACCGTGACAACAAGTAAATATTCACGGCGTGTAAACACTAAATATCAGATACCACAACGTGATAACACAATACATCGTCTTGCACAGTGTGGAATACAATGTTCTATACGCCATAAACAAACCAGTCACAACGTGATAACACTAAATACCCGATACCACAACGTGATAACTCTACACACCAGTTTTCTCTAT